GAGGGCAGTGTCACTGGCCCTCATATGTGGGATCCGAACCGGGGCCCTCTGGCGTCCCAAGCCAGCTCCTAACCATCGTGCCACTCGGCCGGCCCGACAGTCTGTCTTTTGAATGAATTGTTTAACCCGTTCACATTTAATGTTATTATTGACAAAGCTGGATTTACTTCTGCCTTTTTTACTTTTATTCCCTATATAGCTCATGTGTTTTTTTATTCCTTTATCTATACTTTAATGCTTTCTTCTGCATTAAGTGATATCTGGGCTCTCTCATGTCATTTCTGTTGCCTGCTTTCTCCTCTGTATGGGTAATAATTTCCTGTTTCGTTGCATATCTCACAATTTTTATTAAAAACTAGACATTTTGTACACTTGAAACCTATGTAATTTTACTATCCATTGTCACCCCAATACATTTTAATTAAAAAAAACTAGACATTTTAGGTAAATACTGTAGCAACTCTGGATACTGAGTCCCCTTCTTCCCTTCCGGGCTTGCTGCTGTTTTCTTGGTCATTTGTTTAGTGACCTGGCTAGCCTATTTCAGTCAAGTCTATTTCTCCAAGGACTGGTGAGGCCTTGGTGTTGTGCCTCAGAGAGAGCAGCCTTGGGCATGTGCCCCAAATCCCTGATGAGTGTTTTAGCAGGACTCTCTCTGACTGGTTCTTTTTCTGATCTTTCTGTTAAGCTTTCTGCCTCATGTGGTATGAAACTCAGCTGTCAGGCTCCCCCAGTTGCTGGCTGAATGCTCTACTGCTTTTGACAATGCCTTGAAGCATTCATTGCTCCAAAGTCTGATTCAATTAAATCAAGCAGGGGTAGTTTTTGAGACTGTGGGTGTTTTTTTTAACCTCAGAAGAGCTCTCTTCTTATCTGTCTCTTTCCCTGGTTCTCTCTGGTGAACTAGCTAGCATATAGTTTGGCTTTTTGTTCTCAATTAAAAAGAGCTAGGCGCCTTCTTTTATTTGCTTACTACCAACCTCTACATTGTTTTTTAAAATGCCCTTAGGCTCAAACTTCCCCACATTCTGTTCTTACCTATTAACTCTCCGCCACCCCTCCCAAATCTTGGTGCTACCATATGGGAGCTGGTAGCTTCTAGTCTTCTCAGCTTGCCTCTCCCTGTGTGGAACCTCTGTCCTACTGAGCTGGGTCAAGGGTGAAAAGGACCACAGAATTCTTGACCTGTCTGTCCTGGGCTGGGACTGGGGTGGAGCTTCCATATTATAAGTGTATAATGTAGGTGGTAGAGGAAAGGAATCCCTGACATTATGCTAGAAATAAGTCAGACAAAGATATATACTATATGATATCATTTGTATGTAAAATATAAAAAACCCAAACCCAGAGAAACAGACAGTAGACTGGTGGTTACCAGGGATTGGGGAAGTGAGAAGATTATTGGTCAAAAGGTACAATCTTCTAGTTATAAGATTAACAAGTTCTGGGGATCCAATGTACATTATGGTGATTATAGCTAATGATGTATCATATACTTAGTGAATACTCCTAAGAGAGTAAACCTTAAATGTTCTCACTACAAAAAATGGTAATTATGTGATGAGACAGAGGTATTGGCTAATGCTGTGGTGGGAATTATTTTGCAATATATAAATGTATCAAATCAACACACTGTACATATTAAACTTACAATGTTATATGTCAATTATATCTCAAAAAAGTTGGGGGAGGAGGAGGAGGAAAAAAGGAGCCCTTGACCTCGTAGCCATACTGAATCAAGTATTTAGCCTCTTCAACTTGGAGCTGGAGGGGATTATAAAGCTGGCAGCCTGCTCCTCCCAGTTAAACACCAAATACTTTTTTGGGAGCCAAGGCAGTCCTGTCTTTTTGGCCACACCTGCCCAGAATGGAACTTCCATGAATCATTATTTCTACTGTCATAAACTCTCACTGTTCTGAGTTTTAGATTTAAAAAAAAATTTTTTTTATTCGGGAAGAGTGTATTTTTCCAGGACCCATCAGCTCCAAGTCAAGTGGTTGTTTCAATCTAGTTGTGGAGGACGCAACTCAATGGCCCATGTAGGGATTGAACCAGCAACCTTGGTGCTATGAACACTGTGCTCTAACCAACTGAGCTAACCAGCCGCCCCTTTAGTAGATTTTCTTAAAGAAATATTTCATTTACTGTGTACTCTCAGAACAATTTCCAGACGTTACATGGAAGGTTATTGTGGTTTTTACAAGTTTTGTTTATAGTTTCACTGGGGAAGCAGGCACACTGCCATCCCCAAAACAGAATTCCTCCCTTCACTTTTACCTGCATGATTATAGAGAGAATTCCTGGGTTTGTACCATCTGGACAGAGTCAAATGCTTCAGGGTTGAGTGAGTGACCCAAGATGGGCCATAGTCCCTCACCAGGTAGCTGGAGCTGAGTCCAGGAACCTACACTTTTACTAGGCAGCCTCCTCGTCAGAAAAGAGTAAAGGAGATTAAAGAATGAAGAGACCGAGCAAGAACACTCTGGGTTCCTAAGAATGCTGTGGTTATTAGCTTCAGACAAGTCCCTCCGCTAGTGCAACAAAGCTATTCTCCCTGCAATCAAGTTCACTTTAAAGGAGCTCAAAGAGGTTATCACTAGCTATTCAAAAGAACCTTAACAATTATCATCTAGGACTGCCCTGAGGAAAATTCTACTTTGAGAAAGTTTCCATTTATCCTTCTTGGAAAAGAGGTCAAGAATGGCTCCAGGAACCCACGGGAAAGCCCCACCTCTCAGAAGATGCACCCCAAGTACCTTGACTGTGTTCTGATTCCTCATTAGCCACTCGCATCAGGGCATCTAGCACCAAAGCGTTGTCTAGCCATGTGTACCACTCCTCCAACTCCTGAAGGAAGCTGGCTGTGCCCGTGGATTCTGACACCTTTCGAGTTGCCAGCTTGCAAAGCCGCTCGACAAAGCCAGGGATGCTGAGAAGGGCCGCTGCCGAGGAGAGAAAAAAGGGAATTTTCAAGAGACCAGCTCTAAAGCCCTCAACAAATACCCTGCTCCTCACCTGCGTGACAAGAATGATTTTTAACCTGACAGCAGCTATTCAGTTACAGCTTCCCTTTCAAATGAAATGCCATGCAAAGGTAAATTAGTAATAAAGCTATAGAACCAAGATCAATTTTAGCAGGTGTAGGGTAACAGGCTTTCTTATGTCTACTGGTGCAAATATAAATTGGAATAACATTTATGCCTTAAACCTGTGTGTCTTTAAGCCAAGCGGTCCATTTCTGGGAATTTACCATAAGAAAATAACCAATTATATATACAAAAACAGCTGTAAAAAGATGTTCATTGGTGTGGTTTCTATAATAAAAAGGTGGCGATAACTACATGTTCATAAATAGCATATTAATAAAATATGATGCATCCATATAATGAAACACAACAGACACTAAAAACGATGACACATACATGTTTACGCAGTGACTCCAAAAGATGTTTAAATTTACTTGTTAGAGAAAAACATAAATTATTAAACAGTATTATTGGCTTAAGCCTATTTTCTTTAAAAATTTAAAACTTTGCTTCTTTAAAATATGCACATAATATACATACAGAATGGAAAGATATGTACCCAGGTATTTCCTGTGGCTGTTTCTTTGTAGGAGACGATATAAATGCTTCTTTTAAAACTACTAATCTATAGTTTGATTTTCCTGTAACAAACAAGTATTAGCAGGAAGAAAAAAGACAAGCCTGTTTTTTGGGAGGGGTGTAAATTTAGAAACTGAATAATTGCCAACTCCTATAACCCAACTCCTGTTTCTACTAATCCCATTTTACTCACAATAATGAGTAAGATGGAAACTCTGATCAGCACAAGAGAACACAATAAACTTTGAAGGCAGAGAAATCCGGGTTCAAATCTTGACTCCATCATTTAACCTTTAAAATAATGTACATATTTACATGTGTGTACATTAAATCTTCCTGGGGGAATAGAAAACAGCAGTGGTTGCTAAAGATAAAGAGAATTAGGCCAATGGGAACAGAGGGAAACTTCAATGAACACCTTTTTGAATTCGTAGATTTTATTTTTAATCATGTAAATATATTATCTAATCAAAAATAAATGCCTAAATATTTCATAATATAAAGATATCACTATAAATTTGGGAGGGAATAATATGGTATTCGATCTGTTTTATTTTGTTATCTTTTCTACTATTTATTTTCAATTACAGTTGACATTCAATATTATTTTATATTCATTTCAGCATAGTGGCTAGACATTTATATAATTTACAAAGTGATCCCCACTCCGATTAGCCTAGTACCCACCTGGCACTATCCACAGTTATTACAGTATTATTGCATATATTCCCTGTGCTGTACTTTACATTGCCGTGACTACTGCGTAACTACCGATTTGTATTTCTTAATCCCTTTACCTTTTCCACCCAGCCCCTCAACTCCCCTCCCATGGAGTTATGTTTAAAAAGAGTCATTATCTTGTAAAAACACTGAAATATATACAGGTGAAATTTTATGATGTCTGGGATTTGCTTCAAAATAATCCAAAGTAAGGTAGGAGGGAAGAGAATGGGGGTAGAGCCAAAGACAGGCCATCAGCTGACAATTGTTGAAGCTAGGTGATGGGTAAATGAGGATTGTTATACAGTTGTATGTGTTACATATACCCATATATCTCTACTTTTATATGTTTCCCATAATGAAAACTTGTAACGTAAAATACAAAAGAATACTACATTAAAGAAAACTCTTTAAAAATAAAATAAAGGAAAATAAAATAATTAGTTAGGAGGATTACATAAAGTCATATAAATTCAGTACCAGCACAGAGCTAGGCAAATAATCTTAGCCCTCTTTCCATCCTCTATACATTAGTGAGTGACTATGTTTGACCTCATTAAAAAAAAGTGAATTAAAACTACAAATTAACTTTTCCTTGAAAAGTTAAACACAGAATTATATGACCCAGCAATTCCACTCCTAAGTATATACCCAAAAGAAATGAAAACAAGTGTTCAAATACATGTACACACATGTTCACAACACCACTATTCACAATAGCCAAACGGTGGAAACAACCGAAATGTCTACCAATAAATGAACGGATGAACAAATGTGGTATATACATACAATGAATATTATTCAGCCATAAAAAGGAATAAAATACTGACATGCTATAGCATAAACCTAAAAAACATGCTAAGTGAAAGAAGCATGATACATGATACACAAGGGTCACATATTGTATGGTTCCATTTATATGAAATATCCAGAATAGGTAATCCACAGACAGAAAGCAGGTGATTGTCAGGAGTTGGGGAAAATGGGGAATAACTGCCTAATGCATATGGGGTTTCTTTTTGGAGTGATGAAGCTGTTTTGGGACTAGACAGAGGTGGTGGTTGTACACATTGTAAATATAAATGCCACTGAAAATGTTCACTTTAAATGGTTAATTTTGTTAAGTGACTTTCACCTCAATAAAAAAAAATACATTGAGATAGCTTTTTTGGTTTTAGTCTTTTTTGAGATAACAATTTTTACCTATCAATTTGACAAATACCAAGAAGTTAAAAAAAGCCCTGTACTGGGAAGGATATACAGAGTGGGAAGATGAACCAGTAATTTCTTAGGAAGTATAATTTGTCAACATCTATCAAAGTTTAAAAGGCAAATATCCCACACATCATACTCTATACACAAGGTTATTTGCAGGAACAAAGACTTGAAACAAACCAAATTTCCATCACTAGATAAACTGTGATATGCCCATATATGGGAATACTATATAGTTATAAAAAGGAATCAGATAATTCCATATGTACTGGAATGGAATGCTTTGTAAAGTGAAGTTCAAAGCCAGGGGCAGAATGGAGCTATTTTACAAATAGGGAGGAGCCAATCTCTCTTCCCCTCCTCCACCCCCATGATGGGGCATGTACAAGAGTCTCTCTGGACGGACACCTGAGAAAATGGTTAACAGGTTACCGTGGGGAGGGGAACAAACTTTCTACTGTACACCTGCTATTCCTTTTATAACTTATGAATTATTTTTAAAATCTTAGATACATATTATCTTTTCCAAAAAACATAAATAAAAGAGATTGGCTTCTACATGAAAAACTTCACAAAGCTGGATTTTTACTCTCATACCTCTTTTCCTCCAGGGTAAAGAGCTCCAGTTTCTCTAACCGTTCCTCACAAGACCGTTCCTAAGACCCAGTCTTCACACCCTGCACACTTAACACAGCCCTTCACATGTGACCTGCCAGGATTCAGGGTTCTGAGACTCTGACTCCCACCCCAGAAATTCCTCAGCTTTTGTGCATCACTCATCTCTCGAAAAGCTGATGAAAGGGATGGACTCTCCCCCCACCAAAAACAAAACAAAACACTGGCTCAATTATACTCACCAACTTATACACAGTCTCAGGGGACTGGCACCCCAGCATCGTAGAGTCTTTGTAATTCTCCCAGCCTTATTAGTAGCTCTCACACACTGTTGGTTAATGTTAAACTGGCTGACAACTAAAGCACCCGCTACTTCTAAGAATTTCTGCAAAACCAGACCTCTTCTCGCCTCTTATTTATTAAAACATCACTTTTTCTCAAATATTCCTATAAATTTTCCTCTCGCAGTTTAGGCCCTGCTTTCCAGCTCTCTGAGATGATCAGAATTCCATCCTAGCTCATGTATTACGTAAATCAGCCCCACTCAGCTCAGTGTCACCTATAAACTGGTAATTTATCTGGCCTGTGGCTTCATCTCTAAAATCTTGAATGATTTCCCATCCCAGGTGGAGTCATTTTTTCAAGTTTGAATCAATAAAAGGGACTAGTAGTCTGAGAATCCCAAAATGTTAGGGCTCTAACATTTTTATTATCCGAGCTACAGGAAGATAAGATAAATCATTATTTCGCTGGGCAAGAAAACTAGCTCACAGTTACAATATATTTACAACAAAACAAACACATTTTGGCAACATCTTACACACTTCCATTTTCCAAACTGTTATGGACTGAATTGTGTCCGCTTGTCTCCACTCCACCCCCCACTCTGCACTCACATGTTGAAAGCCCTAATCTACAATATGACTGTCTTTGCAGACAGGGCCTTTAGGAAGGTCCTAAGAGCGGGGCCCTAATCCAACAGGACCAGTGTCATTACATAAGAGGAAGCGACACCAGAGGTTTCTCTTTTCGTACATGCACAGAAGAAAGGCCACATGAAGACACAGCGAGAAGGTGGCTGTCTAGAAGCCAGGAAGAGAGACCTCACCAAAACCAACACTCATGGCACCTTGATCTTGGACCTCTAGCCTCCAGAACTGAGAAAATTTCTGTTATTTAAGCCACCCAGTTTGTGGCATCTTGTTATGGCAGCCAGAGCTGACTATTACACACACCTCTATTTAAAAGTATTTGTTACTGGAATTCAATTAAAGAATGACAACAATGAAGACTATGATCTTTCTCATCTACTCATGATTTAATTATGTTCACCTTCCCAGGGTATCTGACTGGAAAAAAAAAAGTGTGTGAATGGAGCAGCAGAGAGATAGGAATTATGGTCAGAATCGGGAAGGGCTACACACTGTACAACATCATGTGCTAAAATACAATATTTCATAAAGCTTTATCCCAAAAGCTGCAACCAGATAGCACATGTAGATTATCACATGGGTTAGCCACACAGGTACGAAAGCGAACATAGGTATTTCATTAAGACTTTCCTTTTTTAATCCCCCAAATCAAAGAAAACTGGGCTTGGGGTTAAAACTCAATTAATTAAGAGACCAACTGACTAAGAATGCTTCATTCCCCAAGGATGATGGGTAATGCTGGTTTTATAAGTCAGCTTACAAATAGATATATGAAGGTAATCGATACTAACAGGATAAAAATAATCTGCCAGAACAGATTCCTTATGGGCAACTAAAGATGACAGTTACTTAGTGCCTCAGCACACAGAGGCACTAATCTTTATGACCCTCAGTTTCCTAAGCTGTGCAATGGGATACTCCTCTCTGTTTGACAGGGCTGCTTTGGAGGATTACATAAAATCACTTCTAGGTGAAGCAGTTAGCTCCATGTTTGCACATAGCAGGAGATTAACAAATGTGAGTGTATATGTATGTGTAGATTTAAATCAGCTTTGAGGTATCATCTAGTTATGATAAAATTCACGTTAAGAATGTATATTTTGTGATTTACTAACCTGAGTACTCCTCAAAAGTCATAAGAAAAGAGGAAGGGGTGGGGGTGGGGTGGGGTGGAAAGCCTACACAGACCAAGGAAGGCCTTGGATCTATGGACTAAGGAGAGAAAAACAGCCTGAAGGGAGAACCACTAACCTGGGGTTCGTCAAGTCCACATACTTGTTTTTACGTGTGACTAAAATGTGTAAAATTATATTCTAGTAACCTACAAGTACAGTTATGACCATCTGGTGTTCATAACTAAACTAGAACATTAGCAGAGTTAATGGGGCACTCGTATTCAGTATTTAGAAGGCAGGCCGCTGGGTAGCTCTTAGCAGTTCTGCAGAGCTCAGCCTGAGAAAACACATACTCAGTCAACTGGACTTTAGAAACAGCACTGTTTTCAGAACATTATCAGAACTGCCGTAGGATGATCATACTTTTCCTACTGCTGTTTTTTTGTTGTTTTTTTTTTAGCTGAGCCATCCTGCTATCTGCTGGCAGCTCAGCAGCAGCTCAACTCGGGCCAGGAATCGAACCACTGTTGCTCAGAGCTCGCACTCTTGAGTGAGCTCTTAACCAACTGAGCCATTCAGCCGGCCCTCCTACTGCTGTTTTTTAATGATAAATGTTTATTATTTCATCTTGGTTATCTGGTTAACCCTAGGTACACAGTGGTATGTTTTGTTTTTGCATCGACAGTATTTCTAGCCTGTTAATGTTCAAGAACTAGCTTGTAAGACACATAAATGCTTTAGTTCAAATATGAATTATCTATACTCTTGTGACAAAAACAGACATATGCCCCATTTCCCTAAAATCTGCTCAGACTAGGATATTTTATCTATTGAACAGTTCTTTTGCTACCAAAAAGCAATAGGTGGGGTAGATGGGTTATAATAGTATTTTTAAAATTTAAATAATATACCCACGTGGTTCTAAAATCAAACAATATATAAAATAATATACCAAGAAGTCCCACTTCTGCTGCTGCTGTCATCCATCCAGTTACCAGCCATCCATACATAACAGGTGGCCACTTTACGTTTCTTCTGTATACTTTGTTTCTTTATGCGTACTGTATATGAGTAAATACATTTGGTCTTATTCCCCCATCCCTGCCTTAATATAAAAAGTTATATTATACACACAGTTCTGCATTTTCCTTTTTACCATTAATACACTTTGGAGATTTTTCTGTATCTATCAGTACATAGAGATTTTGCTCATTCTTTTTTCTTAAAAGCTATAAAATTTTCCATTATAAAAATATTCTATAGGGCAACCAGTCAGCTCAGTTGGTTAGAGCGCAGGCTCATAACACCAAGGTTGCCAGTTCGATTCCCACATGGGCCAAGGAGCTGCGCCCTCCACAACTAGATTGAAATAACTACTTGACTTGGAGCTGATGGGTCCTGGAAAAACACACTGTTCCCCAATAAAATTTCTAAAAAAAAATTCTATAAATTAAGCAGTCTGTTGAACAGTTCGCTAGTTTCTTCTAGTCTTTAATTACAATGTTGCAATGAATAACCTTGTGTTTGTGTTTTCTCTCCCTCTCTCTCTCTCTAATACAGCTGTTCTCAACCTGTGGGTCGCGACCCCTTTGGGGGTAGAATGACCCTTTCACAGGGGTCGCCTAAGACCATCGAAAACACATATTTTTGATGGCCTTAGGAACTGAGACACTGCTCCTCTATCCGTCTCCATGCTTCAAGACAAAATTTCATTTCTTTGTAATTAGAAATAAATATTTCACAATATATGATTACATATTGTTTTTGTGATTAATTGCTATGCTTTAATTATGTTCAATTTGTAACAATGAAAATACATCCTGCATATCAGATATTTACAATTCATAACAGTAGCAAAATTACAGTTATAGAGTAGCAACGAAAATAATTTTATGGTTAGGGGTCACCACAACATGAGCAACTGTATTAAAGGGTCGCGGCATTAGGACGGTTGAGACGCACTGCTCTTATATATATATATATATATATATATATAAAGGCCCAGAGAAGTTAGTGGATCAAAAGGTATAGGTATTTATAACTCTGATAAACAATGATTAACTTTTTAGAGATTCTGGATCCATTCAAAAACTTGATGAAGTCTATGGACTTGGCCCCCCAAAATAATGAACAAATACACACAAATTTTATATACTTTAGGTGGACCCTAGGAACCCTCACATGGATTAATCTTTAGAGATACTGAAAGAGCTAGATGTGTTAGGAAGAGGTCTAAGATCTACAATCTTAAAATTCTGAGAGTTTAGAGACTTTACCTTGGTTGATTTCAGCTGCAGAAGGCCCCAAGCTCAAGCTCTTCTTCTGCTGAGCATTTTTGGCAAGAAGTGTGTGCTTGTCATCATTCCCTGTATCCATCTCTGAAATGGTGACAGCTAGAATCCGGCAGAAATTAGCAAGCTGCTGCTGATCGAAATTGGATACTAAGGAACTCAGGTTGGGGACTTCATCTAGTCGGATCATTTCCTACAGAAGACAAAACAATCCCCGTGCTCAGTTCATTCGAGATTGGATGTGCTCCTCTTTTGCACTGCCCTAAGAATGGGGATTGGTAGCTAGACCACTTAGGTTCAAATCCCAGCTCCACAATTTGCAGCTGTGCAACCTTAGGTAAATTATTGTAGAACCTCTCTGAGTTTCTGTTTGCTCATGTGTCAAATGGGACTAACCTACCTCATGGGACTGGTCTGAGGATTAAACCCTACCTTTGCACATGTGGCTCCTTTTGCCTATTTAAAAAAAAATACCTAACACTCAAGTCTTATCAATCATAAACTGCCATTCCTGCTACAGATGTTTTCTTTTTAAGAAATAAAGTATTTCAAATACAGCTAAAGGCCCCTGTTTTTTCCCACTCGATTGCACTCACTTTTCTCTCTCAGAGGTAATCATTATTTTGAACTTTGTGTTTATTATTCCCGCACATTTTTATACTTATATTTTCATAAAAATACATGGTATTGTTCTGTGTGCACAGTGTGAATGGTATCATATACCACCTTACTTTTCAGTCAACAGTGAGGCTTAACTACACTAATATAAGTAGTTCATTCATTTTTCATTGTTTTACTTCACAATTCTCATTTATATATACATATATGTTCAGGTGAACTATAATTTTTCACGATTAAACAATGTGGCAATGAAAATTCTTGTGTCTCCTTCTGCATATGCACATGTAACCAATTATCTAGAGTAAGTGATAAGCATTCTTGCCTTTTTATTGACTTTAACTGAAATATTTCCAAAGTTTAACATTAAGTTTAATGTTTGCTATGTTTTAATAGATATCCTATATGAAGTTAAGGGATTTTCCTTCTTTTCCTAGCTTTTATTATGAGTACTGAATTTTATGAAATGCTTTTTGTTATTTGGTTATAATATTCTCTGTGACAGAGAAATACCCAATCCAATATAAGTAAATTAGTGGGAGGAAAGGTAGCAAATATTATCTGAGGAATATAAGGATATTTCAAAATGAGAAAAGTTCATGTAACACACATTTGCAGATTTTAAGGAAGAAAAAAAATTGTTTTCTTTTTTAATTAAAAATCTGCATATAAGTAGACCTGCACAGTTCAAACCCTCATTGTTCAAGGGTCAGCTGTATTTTAATTTTTATTTAATTATGATACATACAATATATGTTATGAAGCACAACAAAGTGAAGAGCTGTGTGTGCTTTTACTATCACATTCTGTGCCTCTCTGCCAGAGGTAACTACTACCCTCAATTTTATTACTACATTGCCTTCAAGAAATGTTTTATCTTATGTATTTGAGTTTGCTTATTTTTGAGCTTTATAAAAATGACCATATATACAGTCTATATATAGTGTATAATACTATATGCAGTCTTCTGTAACTGACTTCAAGCAGTAATTTCTGATTCAGCTATGGTGTACCCTACAGCAACAGTTCGTTCATTTCCACCACTTTATAATACAGGCATACTTCATTTTACTGCACTGCACAGATACCAATTTTAAACAAACTGAAGGCAAGACCAGCAAAAAGATGACAACTCGGCTTTACTGTGCTGGTCTGGAAGAGAACTGCAATGTCTCCGAGGTATGCCTGTATTCCACCGTGTGAAAACATTTATCCATTCTCCTGTTGATGGATTGTAGCCTTGGTTTCAGTTTTTTCCTCAGTGTTTCTTGATGCACATGTGCAGTTTTTCTGGGGTGGTGGCTTCCAAGCCATTCTGACAATACCCAAGAAAAGAAATAAAATTTCCTTAACAACCCATAAACATACATCTGTGAGTGTATAAATGTGTATAAATATAAAACAAAAACTTCTTAAAACAATACTCTTACATGATTCACTTCAATCTTTTCTATTTAGCTGGCAGATCCACTGAACTGATTCCACAATGTCATGGCTTCAATTTCGTGTTTTAATTTGTAAAAATGACTGTTGTGGGATACAGCTTCCCCCAGAGTGCGCCAGGGCACAGGTTACACGCGACCTGAGCCACAATAACTGATGCTATGGCTCTCAGGGCAGTGCACAGCTAGGTGATGGGTCACAGAGTATGTGTATGTTCAACCAGACAACGAAAGAAAGGGAAACACACTCTGCTGATGTAAAAAAGTGTCATCGGTACAGAAGTGTTGCCAATGATATACCCTCTCACCAAATTTGCTGTCTCTCTCATTGTGATCTTGATGGGCATTTCCCCGATTATCAATAAAGTTAAGCGTCCTCTCTTATATTCAGGGACCATTTGTTTCTCTTCTGCGAAATACTTGTTCAAATCATTTCCCATTTTTGTACCGGGCTATTTATTTGTTTTTTTCTTGCCAATTTGTAAGAATTCTTGATAAATTCTGAATACCAACCCTTTAGTTGCATGGGTTACAAATACCTTTTCGCGGTTTGTGGCCTTCTTTATGTGGGTTCCTACCCCGTCCCAAACTGCACCAAGGTACCCATCGTGCCTAGCAAAACTCATCACCATTTTTGGTAACACAGCAGCAAATCTGAGCTCCTATGTTGACACTGCCAGGGAGTCTGGAGTTTCCGCCATGGACGCTCTCTCTCACACACTGGCTGGAGCACATAAGCACTGGGAAACTAACAAAGCCTTTTTATCAAAGGGCACAAAGGGTCTGTCTGGGACCTGCACACATTTCCAACGTGTTCCAACAATGGGCCGCTTATACATCTTCTGCCTGGACGATACAAACAGGGCCTGGGGAAGTGCAGCAGCAGGACAGGAATTAAAGCTGGGTCACCACAATGCACGTGGGTCCCCTTCTCCCACCAAGAGCAGCTCTAGGAGGCTGCTCCTGCCTTCCCAGTAGGTAAGAGAAAGAAATCTGCCAAACCTGCAACCGACATGGAGGTGTGGTACAAGGAATGGGGAAGCTCTAGCTCCCAACAAGCATTACATCAAAAATCTAATATAGGGATTCTCTAACAGAGGTCTACAGATGGGTTTTTTGGGGTGAGTTCTCAATGATAAATTTTTAATTTAGTGTTTCCATTTCAATCATAGTTTTTTTTTTCTTTTTTGTTTTTTTTTTTAAAACATATTCTGGAATATTTGAATGTCCATCTTATCAACCAAGTGGCAAGACTTCAGTGCTCATATTTCTGTCTCCTGTGTTGGTGTCAATTAACTTTAACTGTTGACTAATGGGAAAAAATTGAGGTGAACTTAATAAGTGAAAGTCAAACATCACCACCAAGGGAAATATATCCTAATGAATGAAGCTTTCACAGCAGTTCAAATATAGAAAAGTAGTAGGAGAATGAAGTCATTACACAGCAAAGAGCAATACAGGTATGCTAAAAAGATCCTGCATTATGATAATTAGTGAGTGAGGGGCAATTTGATTTCAGCAAAATAACATTGGCCATCACATTAAATTCATGAAGTCAATCTGAACTTGAGTTTTGTAATTAGTTTGATTTCAATTTGTATATTTGTTTAGCTTTTTTAGCCATCTAAGACCCATTAGTATAATGAGTATAGCCTAGTTTATACCTGACTATATTTAAGTAACACACACAAAAAACTGAACATTAGGAGTACGGAAGGATTTTTGTTTTTAAAAGTACATTAATTCACGTTTCAGAATCTAATCGTCTGAGCACCCTCCCCCATCTGGTTACCTACCTGCCAGAGCACATAGCTCACCTTTTTAACACCCAAAATATCTTCAATGAGGGTTGCTGTTTGTAAGAATGTCTTCTTACTCGTCATCAGTGTAAACAGGAAGATCACAAAGTCATTCTTTTCTGCCAAACGCTTTGTAACTCCTTCCGTCTATCACAAGGGAAGAGAAAAGGCAGAATAGGTTATAAATACAAAATAAAATTATCAAGAGCAAGATATCCCTTCCAGACACTGGAAACACAATCCCCCGTTACATCAGGAATTTTTGTCTGAGGCCTTAAATCCCTAAAACTATATACAAAACATTGTGTGCAAATGCATTTTTCTGGGGAGGAGATTTTCATGATAAACATCATCGTTTCTAGGCCTAGTATCTGCCTATATCTAAATCAGGAGCTACAAACTAGCATATAGGAGGCCCAGAAGTACTTACAAAATTTTGAATTTAAATGTCTTTAAGGCAGGACACGCTTACTCCAGGTTAGTCACAATTTGCACAAAACAGGCAACTTCAAACATTTCCCGTTTTCTGCCCAATCCCTAGAGGTACTGGTATTTGCAACTCTAAAAGCCATACACGATGGAGTCAATTATATCATATAGTGTTTTTTGGGGTTTTTTTTATAAGGACAATTTCTTACTGGTCTTAGCTGCAAAAATAATTGCGCATTTCCTGAACAATTAGATTATTTTTATCTTATTGATCTGTCTGTGCCTATTTGTGTCACTAACTATATGTGGCTATTAAGCACTTGAAATGTGACTAGTTTAAATTAAGATATGCTCTGAGCGTGTAAAAAAACACACACACACAAACTAGATTTTTAAATTGTGTTAATTATTTTAAAGTTGGATATATTATCCTTCTTTTTTTCTTTAATTTTATTTTTTTTATATTAGTTTCAGGTATACAAAAACAACATAATGATTAGACATTTACACCCCTCACAAAGTGATAACCCCACCAAGTCTATCCCTCTGACATCGTATATTGCTGTTACAATACCACTGACTGTATTCCCTATGCTGTACTTTACATACCTTGACTACATTATATATACATACATATGTATTTAATTATAGTCGACAATCAATATTATTCTACTTCAGCTTCAGGTGTACAGCGCAGTGGTTAGGCATTTATATAATCTATGAAATGATCCCCCCGATAAGTCCAGTACCCACCTGGCACCCTATATGATCTTTACAACATTACTGATTATATTCCCCATACTGTATTTCACATCCCCATGACTACTCTGTGACAACCAATTTGTACTTTCTAATCCCTTCACCTTCTCCTTCATCCCCCAACCTCCCTCCCATCTAGCAACCATCAGTTTGTTCTCTGTATCTGTGAGTATTTCTGTTTTGTTTGCTCGTTTATTCTGTTCCTTAGATTCCACAAGTAAGTGAGATCATACGAAATTTGTCTTTCTCAGTCTGACTTATTTCACTTAGCATAATATGCTCTATGTCCATCCATGTTGTTGCAAATGGTAAGATTTCATTCTTTTTTACAGCAGAGTAAACACTCCATTGTATAAATGTACCAAAATTTCTTTACCCAATCATCTATTGATGGGCATTTTGGTTGTTTCCATATATTGTTTCCAGGCTATTGTGAATAGTGCTGCAATAAACATAGGGGTGCATATGTTTTTTTTAATGTGTTTTGGATTTCTTTGGATAAAAACCCAAGAGTGAAATTGCTGGGTCATAAGGTAGTTCTATTTTTAATGGGAAAAAAAAAACAAACAAAAAAACCCCACTAGATTTTGAAAGATCAGTACAAAAAACAACAAAAGAAATGTAAATATCTTTATATTTATTTTAAACTTCAAACTTATTAAAGTTAACTTCACCTATTCCTACTTTTTTCTTACTTAAAAAAAAAAAAAGTGGCTACAAGGACATTTAAAGTAATGTAAGTGGCCTGCAGTGTATTTCTGGTGCACAGCACTGTTATAGATGCTGAGCTGTGTAAGTGTTAAAACATGTTTCCCTATTTGTGTTGGTTGCTAAGCAAATTTGTGCCCCATCCATAATACAGATGATTTTATGGTCTACATTTTCCTATCAGCCCAATTCCTGGATGTGTCTTATATCCTCACCTTATTTTCTCCTTTTCATTCTTACCTCTTCTAAATTTATGATCTTGGTAAATTTTACCTACTCCGGTAAAATGCCTGAAAATCTTTTTTTGAATGAGGCAAGAAATGAAATTAAATTAAATGTTCCTTTGCATTTTCATAGCACACAAGTTTCACTTCTATGACAGCACTTGTTTCGTTCTGCCATGTATCATGATTCACTATTTATAGTTTACCACAGAAGTTCCCAACAGACAGATGCTATGTCTAATAACAACTAACATTTGTATATTGCTGTACAAAGTACTTTCACGTCTATCATCTCATTTAGTCCTCACAACAACGCTATGATGTTAGTGTGATTACTAACTGCACTCTACTGACAAAAAAAACTAAAGCTCAGGGAGGTGAACTAACCAGCACTAAGCCAAGAGCTAGAACTCAAAAACAAGTTCTAGTACTAAGTACTATGCTCTTTTCTTTCACCGAATTGCTTCCTTTAGTCACCATTCTTTCTCACTCAGGGGTCAACCTAGTTAAGTGTCATGCTCATATATGAATGGGGCTCTGGTTCTTGTTTTGTTTTCTAACAAGGAAAATGAAGGAATAAGCATAACAAGATTAACAGGCATCTTAAAGGTTGTAGATGCTATTCCAATGCTTGTATCCCTTTGACAAGGAATTGTTCAGTCTCTACAGGACACCTCCAGAGTTCAGTACCTGCTGAAGCAACCCTGGCTCTTAACAATTACAGTTAACCCTTAAACAACACAGGGGTTACGTGCATTTGAAGAGTCACATATAACTACAGTCAGCTCTCTGCATAGGATGATTCCTAACAAAGGATTGAAAATACAGCTGAAACTTGAATAACATGGGTTTGAACTGCACAGGTCTACTCATACACAGGTGGACCGGCACGGTTCAAACCTGTGTTGTTCAAGGGTCAACTATACTATGAAATTCTCTCTGCTGGTTCTGGTTCTCAGGCACATTCCCCCAATGTCTGCACATGGCTCTCCTGTCATATATACCACCCTTACTCGAATCTTCCTTTCTCAAGCATTGCAGATGTGGTGGAGAGATAAATGTGGCACCAAAGGCAGGGAGTACTTACACAGACACAGGTATTATACAGGATGCTCAAACAGTCCTTGGACATTTCATCACTTACTGAAAGTGAAGGGAATAACTGGTTATTTTTCTCATTGAAAAGATAGTGTAACAGTATTCAATTTTTTGAAAATAAGAACTGTTCCTCATAATCCCCTCCAAGATGATTCTTTTCCTGTTAGCATATCTCCTTCCAGTCCTTCCCAAAGATTTTCATGGTGCCCTCAGAACCTACAAACCAATCTGTAGAGTTTTTGCTTTGCTGTAGTAGCCATTTTCTTATTATGCTTCATAGTCTTTAATAATTTCAACCTGTAGTGGTATCATTATCTAAAATAAGCCATGTAGCTTGCTTAGATATATCAGGGGTTGTGTTTGTTTTAGGGCTTTTTTTTTTTTTTGCTATTTAAATAGGCTAAACATAAATAATATATATGTGTATACTGTATATGCATATGTATATATGTATAGCCTTTTTAGGCTTATGTTGAACTGGTTCCTTAAGACACATTTCCAAAAGCAGAACTACTAGAATCCAAAGTATAAACATCTTGATGGCTCATTATAAATTTCAACTGAACGTTCTACTAGCAGCAAACAACGATATCATTTTACCACAGACTCACCGAGTGTTTTGTTTTGTCATTTATGTTGGGGAAATGGTTTTTAATGCCTGACCTACAAAGTTCAATAAAGAACTAGCTACTTCTCTGCTAGCAGCAACAGGAGAGTAGCACAAAAAAACAAACTAAATTGTCATGATCCCAAACCAGAAGATAATAAAATGGGAGTATGAACCATGGACAAAGTATTTTGTTTGGCATTAGTTTCATTTTTAAAAAACTATTTCCATTTGTTCCTATGCTGCTGTTACAGCCTCTAAAAATGCTAGGTCTCCCTCTCAGATACCAATGGGCAGTCCTGTCAACCTAGTTGACCAGATGGGTTATTTGATATAATCTTGAGATAATGCAAGTATCCTGTACCCTTCATACTACCTTTCAACCTGCTGGGACTTTCTGGTTTATTTATTTTATAACTTCAAAGCAGGCTGGAATACCAGACTAGTATATTTCAGTATTTCGAGACCTTTCATTTTTGAAGGGAATTGGAATCCACTCATTCATCAAATATTTATTCAGCACCTGCTCTAGAACAGATATAGGATATACAGTGGTTAGGAAATAAAAAAGGCAAAGTCTCAGCCTTCATCGAACTTATAAATCTAGTGGGAGAAGAGATAATAAGTATACCACCAAGTAATTATAAGATGCTGCTTGATATGAGGGTTATGAGGGTAGATACAGAAAAAAAGAACCAATTTAAGTACAAAGCAAAGCTGAGACATCAGAGATGAATATGAATCCTCTTAACCACTACTATACATACAAAGGTCTCATATGTCATATTGATGTTAGGGAGAAATTTTTTTTATTAAAAAAATATATATATTTGTGGTATTTGTAGAAGGGCATTCATCAAATGTTAAGTGATCTCTGGCTTTTAATGCTAAGTAAAGTTCATTACTCTTTTTTTAAATTAAATTTTGAATACCTAAAAAGAATATCTGTAACGTGTAAGTTATCCAGAAGACTAATACTCATACACGCACTACCCAGCTTAAGAAATAATGAACTAACAAAACACTTTTACACTTTTTACTATATGCACTCTGGTAATGACTGAACTTTTTACAAAGAGCACATATCACCTTTATAACAACAAAAAATACTTTAAAAAAACAACAACACAGCTAGACCCAAGGACTATTAGAAAAGACAAAGATGCAATTCTTTTAGCCCAGTGGTTTTCACATTTTTTCTTTTAAAGCACCAGATCTGAACTTCTATCTAGTATAAAATGGATAAATACAGCTGCTTATTTTGGGGTGGAGAGAGTGTCCTGCAGCTGACTGTAAGGCATGTCCTCACTGTTAAGTGTTAAGAAAGAAGAGAAACTCCTGGAAACCACTGTATCAGCAGGTTTGGAAATGAGGAAGTGGCTTACAAGTATACTTACTTTTCAGTTTCTGTCCCCGGATGGAGATTGTAGGCCTCATAAGAATTTCTACAAGGAGCTATAAAAAAAAAATTTTTTTTAAATAAAATCTTCAAAATTAATTAAAAGCACAACTCATAAAATAATCTTTGCCATGACAACTCACAGCCCAAATATTTGTCACAGTATTACAAGACCCTCTTGTTCCCAACACAGACAGAAGGCAGTGAGGTTTAGCAGAATGAGCTCTATACTAAGAGTCAGGAAACCTGGGTTCTAGACCCAGTTCAGGCACCTATTCCCCATGTAAACTTGGATAAGTCAATGCCTTTCCCTGGCCTCAGTTTTCTCATTTAAAAAAAAAAAGCATATCAGATTAGGTAATCCTGGGATCCAATGTGGCTTTAAATTTTTAAAGCTGGAGCATATTATCACTACTATGATTCTTCTTTTGCTTAAATAACATTTGTGTTGTATTATAAATGTTAGTTTATAAGAAGGATCTCAAAAGATACACCATAAACTGTCAATACTGATTTCTACAAGGGTTATGGGTAATATGCATTCATTTTTCATTTTATATACTTTATGTACAATACATAAAATGTTGCTTAAACTGTTTACAATAAACATGCATTTAAAAACCCATTCTGTTGAGACAAAGAAAGACAAGTTACAATGATAAAAAGGTCAATCCATCTGGAAGATATAATAATTATAAACAAAGATGCAGTTAACAACAGAGCCTCAAAATAAATGAAGCAAAAGCTGACAGAATTGAAGGAAACAGACAATTCAAAAATAACAGTTGAACACTTCAATATCTCTCTTTCAATAATGGACAGCTAGGCAACAGCAGAGAAACAGAAGACTTGAGCGCTATAAAACCAACAAGATCTAACAGGGAGTTCAGCAAGAAAAATGCACCCAACTAAAGGTTAGTGAAGAGCAAACTGACCCATGCAAAAGCCCATATGTATGAACAGACAGATTCCTAGAAAAGTTAATCTAGCTCAAAGCAGGAGTGAAAAACCCCACAAAAGCAAGAGCAATTGATCTAAAGACGTCCTAAGATGGGATAGACACCTGCTATAGGAGGCCACGTTTTCACTAAAAATAGACATCAGGCGAGAGACCCGCATTATTCTTTCTCTTCCCATAAACACCATGGTTTCTATTAAGTAAATTCCTTGATGAACTATTCAGAAGTGAAGCAGGGTTGGGGGGGGGGTCCCTTGAGCTGACTAGTAGGTAAATGGTAAAGGGCAATTGCAACTTGCAACTGCTGAGGAGAGGGAATCTTAAGTGTACAGCTCCCGTTTTTACAAAGTGAACATCATTTCTGTATAATCACCACCCAAATCAAGATACAGAATAACCACAACACCCTGAAAGCCTCCCTCATGCTCCATCCCAGTGATGGGGTAAGGACAGATATCCAAGGGGGAAAAGTACGATCCCAGCCCTTTACTCATTATAGCAAAATAAATTTGGAAGGGTGCAAATATTTAAACATATATGATAAAAACTTTAAAATATTAGAATGAAACATGGACATAGTTTATAACCCAACAATGGAAAAAGCAAGAAACAAAGTCTGAAGACATAAAAGGAAAAGATTAATCAATCTGACAACCTAAAAAGTAAACCTTTCCACATTTAAAAGGACCATGAACAATGTCAAAATTCAATTCTCCAACTAGGAAAAAAAAATACAACACATATGACAAGGACCTTAAAAAAATTATGAGTACCTACAATTTGCTATGGCCTGAATGTTTGTGTCCTCCTGAAATTTTTATGTTAAATACTAATGTGATGGCATTAGGAGGTGGGGCCTCTGGGTGATTAGGTCATGAGGGCAGAGCCCTCATAAATGGGATTATACCCTTATGAAAGATGCTCCAGAGAGATGCCTAACCCCTTCCAATGTGAGGACACAGGAAAAGGCTGGAAGAGGGCCTTCACCAGACACCAAATCTAACAGTGCCACGATCTTGGACTTCCCAGCCTCCAGAACTGTGAGAAATACACTTCTGTTGTTTATAAGCTACCCAGTCTGTAACATTTTGTTACAGCATCCTGAAAGAACTAAGACAGAAAATCAAAAGAGAAAAGCTGGGCGGTGCGTCAGTTAAGAGCTGGCTTGGGACGCCAGCTCTGAGCAGCAGGGCCCTGGTTCGGATCCCACATGAGGGCCAGTGATACTGCCCTCTACAGCTAAGATGGTGAACAACTGCTCAACCTGGAGCTGGGCTGCCATGAGTTGCCGGTGATGGTGTAGGCTGCAGCCCCTACTGCAGTGGGCTGCCATAAGGTACCGTGTGTGGCTGGCAGCCAGCGTGAGCGGCCAGCAGCCGGTGTGAGCTGCCAAGAGCTGCCATGAGCTGTCCAGAGGCCGGTGACTGATCTGCCTCACCCAGGAAGAGCGCAATGATAACACCAACATGGGCCAGTGAAGCAACGTCCTCCACAACTAGACTGAAGAACAAAAGGACAGCAACTTGTCTGTTCCCCTTCCCCTGATTCCCCAGCACTGTTCCACTCCCCCAATTCCCCAATAAAATCTTAAAAAAAAAAAGAGAGAAAAGCCTAATAACCAAATAGAAAGGATGCAAAAGACACTAACAGACAATTGGCAGAAAAAGAAACAATTTATAAACACGTATAAAGATATTCAATCTCACTCACAGAAGAATGTAAATTTTACAAACTATGAAGAGAATACACAAGGAACTCTCAGAACACATAATAAAAAGACAACCCAATTTAAAAATGGAAAAAGGAGATCAACATTTTCCCAAGGAGATATATGAATGACCTATAAGCACATAAAAAGATGCTGAAAACCATTAGCTAATACAAATCAAAACCACAATGAGATACCACGTCATACCCACTAGGATGGCTATAATAAAAAACACAGATAATAACAAGTACTGATGGGGATGTGAAAAAACCGGAACCTCATACACTGCTGGTGGGCATGCTGCAGCTGCTTTGAAAAACAGTCTGGCAGTATTAAACATAACAGTTATCCTATGACCCATTAATCCCACTTCTAGGTATACACCCCAAATTAATGAAAATCTAGGTCCGCACAGAAATTTGTATGCAAATGTTAACAGCAGAATTATTCATAATAGCCAAAAGGTAGAAACAGCCTAAATGTCCATCAACTGAAGAATGGATATACAAAATGTGGTATTATTCAACCATAAAAAGGAAAGAAGTACTGATGCACGCTACAACATGGGTGAATCTTGAAAACATGCAGCTAAGTGAAAAAAGCCAGTAACAAATGACCACATATTATATGATTCCATTCATTAACTATCCACAAGAAAATATCTATAGAGACAAAAAGTAGATTAATAGTTGCTGATGATAGGGGTGGCGGCTGGAGGAGTAGGGGAGTAACAGCTAAAACATATAGTTTCTTTTTTTTCTTATTATTTTTTTTATTGGGGACTTGGGGGAAGGGAAACAGACAAGTTGCTGTCCTTTGTTCTTCAGTCTAGTTGTGGAGGACGTTGCTTCACTGGCCCAAGTTGGCACCCTCATTGCGCTCTTCCCGGGTGAGGCAGATCAGTCATCGGCCTCTGGACGGCTGTTCACAGT